TATGATGTCAAGACTGAGATATATTCTAATACTTCTGCTTAATGTTTGCCTGTTAATTTGTAAAAAAAAAAAAAACAAAGAATCTTTTTTTTATACAGGAACACAAATAATACAGTAATTCAGATACTGACCATTACTTTTCATTTCTTCTTCCCAAAACAAACTTAGATTGAGTCATATAAAACTATCATAATTTTCAGATTTCCTACTACCTATTTAGTTATGACACCAAAATACATAACATCACATTATTTATTACCTTAAAAGAGATTTTTCTAACATCAAGGACAGGGGTATCATAATTCAACTGAAGTATATACAGTCATCATCATTTCCTTATTGGAAAGTCTAAGACATTTGCCTTCAAGGAACAAACAGATCAAGGTATTTCAGTATCAATAGTCTACTCTCTACCCGTGAACTTTCACTAAAATTTAAAGTAATTTAAATTATGTAGGTTTTATGCTGCTTGCTAACATCAGGAAAAGTTTTGCAATTGCTATTTATCTCTATCTGGTAACTTCAGCCTTAATTACACTGAGCGTTACTAATTTTCCCCCTATCAATCACCACTCTAAGGTCACACTGTTTTATATACAGATTCCTATTTCTGCTTTTGAAGAAAATGCGTGGGATTCATCTCACTTCACTTTACCCTTGCAAAACATTTACACTGCGAAGCTGACTGTTTTGTCTCTAGCGCAGAGCGAGTGCTATGTACTGGGGGTGGGACACCCACAAATGTCTCCCAGCTGTGTTTTAGACACTTAGGTGAGCGTGGGACAAATTCTCCTCCCATCACTGACTGGCTCCAGATAATTCTGTCTGGGCACGTGACATTTATCATGGGTTTGCTTGCCTAAACAGTAGTGTCTAGTGCCACTAAAGATATCCTGATGGTTCCCATGCTAATGAGGCAGGAAACCTTTAGGGAATCTGAAAAAGCACTAGACACCTAAGCATAGATAACTGAGTCCCATCCTTGGGTACCCGACTCAGGTGCAATGAGTGTATCCCCTCCTGTTGTTCCAGGAAGACTGGAGTGGCTCACCTACACGTTGTGTTAGGCTTAAGAAAAGATTTTGTGCAGATTGGAACTGCATCTCTGTGTGCAACTTCAGCCCCTGTGGAAAAGCAGCAGTAGCTCAGGAAAAAAATGCACTCAACATTACAAAACCATGCAGCAGGATTATACAAGGTTCTTGGACCACTGTAAAATTACTGCACAGACATTGTCTTTATTTCCAGCCTAGATGGTTTCAGGTCACAGTAACATCAACCCATCCACTTTGTCTTTTTGCCTGCAGAAGGGGGGCATTGCTGACACCACGTGCCCAGCTTTACCTTGTGCATCGCAAGCTTTGCCTGCACTCAGCCTGGCCCACCCTTGGGCCTGTGAGACACATCCCACTGTGGTGGCAGGACCCAGCTGGTGCCAACAGGCCAGTGCCTCTCCAGTTTTTCCTCCCTTTTTCTCCCTTTTTCCCAGAGGGATTTCATCAGATCTGTGTTTACGGGTTGGGAAACACTCCAGTAACTTCAGGCAAGCTGAGAAGATTTTGTTTCTGGATCACAAAAAGAACGATGGTCTTTTAAGAGAAAAATCACCATGACACATGCATCTTAACATGTCAACAGGGTATCCACTTTTCTGCTCCCGAGCAAGCTGCTGCCTAGGTTTTCTTTCAGGTGTGTTTCTGACCGAGCAGTTTGTCTTTCCCTTTCATTGTTGTTAGCAAAAGTCTTAATCCCAGGAAAGGTCGGAAATCCTAGCCCTGACTGACAAAAAGACAAAGGTAATTTTGGTATCTGGATGTCTACGATTCTTGGAGAAGTCTCTTAAATCTTTATATTTTAAAATCCCTAGAGCTGTTCTTGGAGGGGCGCAGACATCTGGTTTATCTCAGCCTCAGGACTTTTGACTTCCTGAACAAGCAAATTTTTGTGGGAATCCTTCTGTGCCTCAGCAGCTAGACAGTGGGCTGTACGTCATGATTGGTCCAGGGGCAGGCTGGATTGCCCATCCTTCCTTCTCCTTCTGTTCCCTTCTTTTCTGCTGGAGAAAGTAGAAAATATCTGTGTGTATTCTGTATGCTGCTGTCTGTATTCACGTGTTTTTCAGAGGAAAGTCAATCTCTTCTTTTTACTTGAAAACCAATGGGATATATCCCCAAGTATCAAACCAAATTGGATTTATTGTTAATTGAAAGTGTGCTTTGTGTTGTATTTACTGATTAGTTTGTATTTCAATTTCTGCTGGCCTTCAAAATACAGTATTGTACATCACTGGGAAAGAACGGGGGGCTCTCTCCACCTCAGGAAGCAAGTTTTTTCACTTTTTTTGAGTAGCTCAGATATATCATAGAGTGAGAAGTAGAAAGGCTCTGCCAAATAACCCCAGTTGGGTAAAAGGAGTGATCTGTGCCTCCTGTATTTGTGGAATTGGCTTGTATCTCCACAAAGATTAATGTGAATGGTAATTGTTTCTTTGAAAGGCCCAGTATCATCAGTCCTGTTGGTGTTAGCCATTCTCTTTCAGTATGTTTCTGATCAAGAACTTATGCAAAATAAATAGTAAACAGTAATTTTGCAGCTTGGAGTTTTTTGAAGCTGTACAGCTGATTTATTTGCAAAGGAGGTATTGTAGGGGTATGTCTTTTGTTGCTTTCTCAGTGGAGGTTTCCACTGAGCAAAACTCAGTTTAGAAAGGCTATAAAAGACTTCCATTAAGCCTAAATTGAACAATATTCCAGTAGAGCACATACTTAATGGAAGTAGCCACATGGATATAAAATCAGTTGTCAGCAAGACTGTATTCTCACTTTTAATCTTTTCTCCATAATGCTTTCATTTTCAAAGTGTATGCAATACTTTATTTCAAAAGATTTACTAGTATTATCTGCTTTATTTGAATAAGACTGTATGGCAAAATATTTCAGTTGTTATTATTCTCATGTATGCTAGGGAAGCTGGGCTAGAATAAATTATTGTTACGTGAGTGCATAAATGATTTGGAAGCCATACACAGAAAGTAGTTCTCAATGATATACCATTAAGTGCAGTTTTGCAAGTTTTTTTCCTTGTTCTGCTGCTATTCAGTATTCTTTCTGACAGCTTGGATGAAAGGTTAGGAATTACGCTTAATAAATTCATAGATCAGAACATGCCTGTTGGAAGCAAGGCAATTGAAAATTACCTTGATAAAGTAGCAGAGTAGCCTAGAAAATGTCAGGTTTCCAGCAGTTACATTAGAGCAAATGGAGAATTGTACATATGGCTCAATGTAGTCAGCTGCACATAAATGCAGATGGAAAACAGCTGCCCAAGCACCCATTCTGCAGAAAATGCATCTATCATAGTGATCCCAAACTGAACATGCACCAGTGATGTTGTGCTACTGCAAACAGGGCCAGTGCTAATGTGGGTTATAGAAAGGGGAGTAATAACACATAAAATGTAATTATTTTGCTCTAATCGGCACTGATAAGGCCTCAGTGCCAGAGCTTTACTCACTTGCGGAAACCACAGCTCATATGGGATCCAGCAAGAGAGCAAGCTGGGCTCAAAGATCTAAACCACATGGGCCTTCAAGGAAAGGTTGAAGGGTTGTTTAGTCTAGAGATGAGAGGAGGAAAGGAAGACATGATAGCTGCTTTCATATAACAGTGGGGTGACTCTAAAGAGGAAGGGATTTAGCTGTCCTGTATGCTCTCTGTACAGAAAAGCAGTAATAGGCTTAGATCTCAACAAGGATGATTTAGTTTAAGCGTCAGGGGAAAACGAAACTGGCAAGGAAAAGTGGAGCTCTGGAATAGGTTGTGTAGGAGAAGTTCATGGAATCTTCCACCTTGCAGATGTTTTTTAGGTTAGATGTTTTTCTAACCTATTTTTGTAGGTTAGACAAACGTCAGTAGGCATGGCATAGATCAAATCACCTGCTAGCTCTCTTCCTTTAGTGCTTTCTATCTATGTGATAAGGATAATAATTATACATCCAAATTATTGTTTAATGTGGATATCTCCACAAAATTTCAGGGTCTATAACAAAAAATTTTAAACTAGTTCAGGAATTTATTGCATGGTGTATGTATTTACTTTAGCTTGAAGCAATTATACTTTTTCTATTTTTGCCCATGTTAGTATTGATTGAAAATTACTATGGTCTGATGGCTTTGTGAATAGTCTTTGTGAAATATATAGGTGAACATAGTCAGATACCTGTGGTAGGATACAAAGCACTCACTGCTAGCCGTGAGAGAGTTTGGTCTATATTGGAGGCATATTCTTGGTCTTACCTTTTTCCTTTAGTCTGTGATACTAAAAAAGAAAGTGGTTTTCGGAGAAACAAAGTGCTTGAACTTTCACTCTCTGGAAAAATAACTGGCAGGAAATCAGAGTAGATTTCCTTGGGTTCAGCGAAGCCCATTCAGTGAGTCATTTATGGAGGATTTATAGCTGTTAGGATTAATAGTTGCTGTCAATACATAATGGACATAGCCAATGTGTATTAGAGAGACACCAAACTTGCATAAACCGTGTATTATTCTGTTGGATGCTTACTTGTTAATTGTTTATTAATCCTCTAAATTGCTTACGCTGTATCATGTGTACAGTGTGAGAGAGACAGTACAGAACTTTCAGCCAGAAAATCTGCTATACAAAATTATGCTTTACAGAGATAATATTTTAATTAAGATTTTAAAGTACTAAGCTATCGGGCACTGAAAGGGAAAATTAGTAATACTTTAAAATAATGGTATGTTTAATCCTGGATAATATTTTAGGAACTATGCAGTGTGAGATACCTTTCTCCCTCATAAGCATCCTGTGGCTAACAGAGAGACTGTAAACTTTATCCCAAATCTGTTATTTAAGAAACATTTGCTATTGCCTGGTAAAAAAGAGAAAAAGAAGACTCATCTCATTTGTAGGGCATTTTAAAAATTGGAATTGCGCTCCAGCAACCAGTGATGACTAGTTATTGTTCCTTTTGTCAACAGGCAAGATGAAGGAGGTTCTGGCAGCTTACCAGGTCCGGGGCTCTGCAGAGTTAAGTGAGAAGTGCGCCCATGTTCTAGCATGCATCACATCGCATCTTGGGTCTGAAGTGCCAGAAGGATCCCAGCGCTGCAGACTGAGACGGCTCTGAGCACCTCAGTACCCCGTTTCTGACAGAACCCAGGGATGGCAAACGTACATATCAGTATTACCTGTCTGGGGCAGGTTTAATTTTATAAATTAAACCCATAAACTCTGTGAGTTTCTAGACCATATTTCTGCTATTGAGGATGATCTGCTCAGATGAACAGTTTTGCATCCATCGGAGGGACAGGTTCTTCTGCTGGACCAGAAGATGACAGTGGGCTCTATCTTGTAACTAATACCATTTGTAGCATCTTCTAGTGCAAATAATTGAAGAACAGGTTACAAGAAAATCCTGTAGGGAATAAGACATGCTTTGTTTTAATCTACAGATTTTAAGAAATGTTTTGTTTTTTTAAAGAGAACCACTTTTACAGAACACTAAGTGTGCAGTCTATGTGCAGCTCTTCACTGTGGCTATCTGTATTCCAGAGATGATGAATTCCCTGTGAGACACCTGAACCTTTTCAGATTTGTGATGAATCCTTAAATTATGAGAGTACAAGAAAAACTGGGCGGGAAAAGTCCCAGGGCTTTTATTAGACTAGATGTCTACAATTACTTCCTGCTGGTGTCCTGAAAGTAGGAGGAGAGGACAGGAAGTAGGAATGAAATACAAAAAAATTACAATGCATTTCTTTTTTTGCATATGCATCTATCTGAATGTGTGTTTGATCTAATAGCCAAGGGGAAAGAAACAGCTAAGTTAGCTGAGACCTCACATGAAAGGTCTGCATTTTTGGGCAGTATTTGCTAATTTTGTCTCTTGAATAGCTATAGGAAAGAAAGAATATGTATATGCCCCACCATATGTGAAAAGTACATCCTTGCCATTCCTTTATTTATTTTTGCTCTTTTAAAAATTAAAGTGCCAGTTACTTGGAATGCTGTAGTCTGTGGTCTCTTTACATTTGTTTAGTGAGATCCTTTCAGCAAGATCATACCCATTATAGTGTAACTGCATGGTGACCACAGCTTTGGGCCTGTATAATAAAGATCTAAATTCAAAATTTTATTTCTCATCATTTTCTCTATTTTTATGTTGTATCTGCCAGTCTTTGATTGGAATCCCACTTATTGCTGATCACTGTTTAGAACAATTTAGAATTGACAAAAAATGTTAGAGGAAGGCGTTTGTACCTTTGGACGTTGTTCTCCTTTGTATCAATCTTTACACAGGTCAGTAGGCAGAGGGATAGAAAATGTTAGCAAATCAGTAGTGATGCTTAAATTCAATTTGCACATGAGGCCCCAGGGCAATAAGGAGATCAGGCTCTTCACATCCTGTATTTAAGGCCATACTAAAGTATTGACATCTGGTTTCTATTAATTAGTAATCCTGGAAAGGTATGGGAGGAAAAAGCTGCAGAAAAGCTGAGTCTAAGCTGGCTTTGATTTGCTGCGTGTGTCATACATTGCGCTGAATATACGTACATCAGAATTTAAAACCCAATTAGACTCTTTTTCCTTCCTCCTCCTTCTTCAATGACAAAATTTTAAACTATAAAAAATGTTATTCATGTAGCAATTAAGTTTATGTGAGCAAAGACTGCAGTTCAAATATTAATGTGGTCCTCACAAGGCTGCGCTAGCTATGCTGCACTGTAGGCAGGGTTTTCAGGCATAGTGCTGATGCTATAATTAGCTTATAGCAAACAGAGCATCCTTAACCTTCAGAACCTGTTAGTACAGCATCCCTCTTATCCTGCATCTTATGTAGTTACTTATGGATGGCAGAGTGCTGACTGCTGCGAAGTACACACCAGAGTGTTTCACCATGAGTGAGGGCAGACAAGAGCATCCCAGTGCATTTTCCTGATCAGTCTGAGCTATTTAAGGCAGTGCTCCTCCTCACAAGGGGCAGTCCTGTCTTCCCCTTCTGCCTCACTCACCCCTTCCCTCTACCTCCCTGGAAGAGCCGCACACCTATGAGGCTTCCTGGTCTGACTGAAAACATCCCCATGTAAGAGTTAGCTCTTGTGCTGGCTCTGACACTATGGAAAGGCTGGGAACAACCAACAGTTTATCAGCAGTTACTGATGGAGGAACCATGCCTTCAGGTGCCTCTAACTGTTGATTAACTAATCCTATTACCTAAACTTTCTATTTAAGCATATTGCTTTCATATGGCTAAGAAGTATTCCTTGATTCAGTAACGTTGCAAATTAAATAAAGCACTGGAAATTAATTAAATCCATAGATTTAATTATAACACCTTTAAAATTACCTGTGCAGTGGCAGTATGTGAGTAACCACAAAAATACACTGTTATGAGACGAATACATACTTGCCAGTCAAATTACTCTGAAGACCAAAACTTTTTCAGAAAAACAAGTAAAATCTGTGTGCCGCAGCAGTACCAGGGCAGCATAAGCCTCCTGTGCGAGCAGACCTGTAGCTGTTGATGAGGTATATGCTCAGAATGCGGCCGGATGGACCCTCCAGAGCTGTAGATGCTTGAGCTTGACCATGGCACCATTTGAATTTGAATTTGAATGTCAAAATGACTTGCCCGGAGATCAGGGACTGTTTTGGAGAAACAGCCTTTTGTCTGTACTATACAGGGAGCTGCTGGAAGCTTGACTGTCCTGTTGGGTGAGCTTTTCTGACAAAACGTGTGACTGCTGCCCATCTGTTGAAGGAGCCATTATAAAACAAAACACAGCAAAACAGGCAAACCTCCCAGCACTCCAGTTAGGGCAGAGGTTGGAGTTTTTTGTTCTTCGGCTGAATTCCCCTTTGAGAAGCCTCCCAGTGCTTCCCCTTGGCATCTGGACAAGCTCTCCTTTGTGAAAGGACATGAATATGGAGAGACCTGCAGTGCACCCGTCTCTTCAGCCAGCTTCAAAGGAAAGTTTCACAAGTCATTCTTTTCTGGCAACTTTAAACATCCGAACTGAGGCAGTGCTGGCTTTACAAACAGTATTAGTTGACTTTGGTGACTTGGAGCAATTCAGTGTTTGCACGATTAGAACAAGTACTTGGACTATACATGGACTGTGTAGCTTAGCAGGCAAGAGTGTTGCTTTTGCTGACTGAATGTAATGTGAATATGTAGTTTACATTCAAATAAGATGGTCTTAATTCCTTAGCAGACAATAATCCATTCCAAGAAAAAGAACATCTGTCCAGGAACCAGACCTGAAATAAATAGCAGTGTAGAGACAAGTCTTTTGTCCAGCATTGTTTGGGTATTAGACATCTAAGAAGCAGTTGACTCTCCAGGTCACAGCTGGCGTTCTGTTGACAGAGTAAGAGCATGTCTCTGCTACAGCTGTGACTGTAGTTCTGTTCCTACTGCCAGTCTGCATCACTGCGATAGCATGGGCTTTTATAAATACCAGCTTGCTTTAGATTACTTACAGTAACATTGCCTTAGTTTTGAATTGTGTGTGTGTACATGCAGCTGTTGATCCATCATATTCACGCAAGGGAAAACCCAGCAGTGGCTATCATATTGTCATTTATCTCAAAAAAAGCCCAAGTTTTTTTTAAGAAATTATGACCATATTTCATAAGCAATAATCTATCTTATTTTTTTTAAATTCTGTTGCAACCTCCATATAGGAATCTCCAAATACTTGCCAAATACTAAATAAGAGAGTTTCACAGAAGTTTCCAGGCAGCATACATTTTATTCTAATGTATAAGTAGATAAGCCAAGTCTCTGGAGAGCTAAGTAACCACACTTGCTGCACAGCAATTAAAAATGTACAAAACTAGTGATAAATATGTAAGAAAATCAACATCATTAACAGTTATTGGCGTGATTTTTCTCATTCCCTGTTGTGCTTGCCTTCTAAGCTAAGGAAAGCTCCTCTGTTAGCAGCTTCACCTCAGCTCTGTACCTGTCCCCTCTCCATCCTGCAAGAAACAATTACATTGTATTACTTCACCTGATAATCTTAACTGCCACACACAATCGCTGTGAAGGGTCACCTTTTGACTTTGTGTTGGGTTACTTCTTGACTGGTTTCAAGGCTGTCTTCTTCTCTGTCATGGCTGCCACTTTTTCCTCCTAATAAATGATGCTCTTGAGGTAATGTCTGGTTTTGAAGTTAGTCTTTGCTGATGAAGTCAGAGGGAGAGAACATGTTCCTGGCTACGTTATAAAGAAGGAGGGTTTCTGTGGCGTGCACAAGTCCCTCAGTAGGTGGTGATGTGCAGCCACTCTGGGTGTTGAATATGAGGTGCAGAGTTAATGAAATACTGACAGTCAGTCATGACTTTATTTCCCGTATGTTGTCACTGTTTTCTTAAACCCCACTGCAGAGCTAGAAGTTGAAGTGATGGGCAGAATTAACAGCACTCATAAAGGCAGATAGCAAACTTGACTGGGAAACCCCTGTCCTTACAAAGAACTCCCCATGCAATTACTTAGGTTAAAAGAGGCAAGGCAGCCAGGCGTGCTCTCTCAAACAAACTTAAAACGTGGACTGGTGAAGTCAGAAGATTGCAAGGCAGCACTGAAAATGGACCATGTGCTGTTCACAGCAGTTCCGCTTTTCACAGAGGCTTCCTATTGCCAGCACAGGTCTTTAAAAGACTTTCTTCCTTTTTGTTACTCCTGCTAAGGATAAACAGAAAATATTTTTATCAACTTTAAAAGAAAAATGAGTGTAAAAAAAGCATTGTCAATATTCTGACATTCTTAAAGCAATAAATAAACATTCCCAAGGAGTGTGGTGGATTCACTGTCCGGGAGAATACTTAAGTGAAGCTTCGTAGTCATTTAAAGGGTGGCAATGTCCCCATGCAGGCAGAAGCATTGTGCTTGACATGGGGACTGTTGCTGACGTGTGCTCTGTGGAGGGTTATGAAGACCTCAGACATAGTGATCTAAATGACCCCAAGCTCCCTGTTATTTAATCCCATCACCTTTCACAGCTACCACCCTCACTTTACTCCCGTGCTCACTTTGTATATATGCACTAGGGAGTTCATGCTCTGTCTCCATGGGAAGCTGGAAGTGCAGAGCTCTAAAACAGCAGAGCAAGTTAGAAAAATAGCAATTTCAGTTGTACCTGTGGTAGTCAGCTGAACAATATTTTTCTTAAAATCCTAACTATGTAAGTTCAGCGTGAATAAAGCCCCAGACTCTTATTTAGGCACAAAGCTCCCTATTAAATCCAGTTAAACTGGAAAACGAGAAATGGAATATTCAAAACTGTGTTACTTATCTCCTTCAGTAAAGTTCTGGAAGCTGGCCAAAACCAGGAAAGTGTTTACTTATTTGTGAACAAGAGGTTTGGTTTTGAAAAACAGCCCAAAATATATGTGTGAGATACAGGTCAGGTTCTTATCATGAAAGTGCTATAAAACATTTCTGTTAGTCTTGCTTTTGCTGTGACACTGAAGTGTCCTGCACAATACAGATTTGGATGGTTTCAGGAATTCTCCTCCCAACAGCCTTGTTTATAGCAGCTGGATTTCTAACCGATAACCTTCACAAGGCCCAGACTAGGATTTGCTCTTTGGTTTATTTTGGTTTTGTTATTATTGTTTGTAAACAAAAGAACCACAAAATAAAAGTCAGAAGGTAAAAGTGAGTCCAGGTAAGCTAAAACAGAGACCTTTGTGGTTTCCAGCTAAGAGTTCCTGTCTGATGCCACATGTACCCCCCACTCCCCAGCAGTGGGTATATTCAGCAACTAATTAGAGATGTTCTCTCTGATGAAAGCCCTGCCCTGCCCAAAATCCTGATGATGCTACATGGCCAATGTGATGTTCTAAGCACCTTGGCTTTCTTTAGCTTGAGTAAAAACTGAAGCACTTGCAGACCTGAAGTAGTCGGCTTTCTGACAGTTTCAAGCCAGAGCTTGACAAAGATGGGGCCTGTTACTTGTGTTTGCTGAAAGAGCTCCTTTGCACAGCGGGGGAAGCAGGAACAGCCTCTAGTATAAATAAAAGCATTCCCACAGAGTTTGAACAATTATTGTCATCTGTATCTGGAAGACATTCAAACGAAATAAAACATCTTTTTCTTTTTTAATTATTATTTTTTAGAGTG